TGTTTGGAAATGGCCTTATAACCCTTCCCAGATTGATGGGCAGCAACAGTTGCTTCTCTAAGATCATTGCTGAAGTCTTTACTCTTTGGCATTGTGTTAACACATACCTCAATGCATTGTCGACTCTTAGCAACCGCATAGATTTTTCTCCATGCTGTAATGATTACAGTACATTCAAATTCTCTTTGGGAAGAGTCAGTAATGCATTTATTCCTTTGTTAAAAAAAAATGTAATGTTCCAGAGACCTTGTTTTTATTTTTTCACTTCTGGCTTCATGCTGTAAACTCCTATGCAATATTGTTACATCAGTGTATATTACAAAACCTATAATTATAATTAAAGAAAACAATTGCTGATTGCTAGCTCTTTTTAAACACTCAGAAGTTCTTATAATATTGTGGAATACTGCAACAGACTTCTTGGAATCAAGTCGAAAATCAGGAAACTATTTGTATTGAAGAACACCCATGTTCAAAGACTGCCCCAAAATGAAGAAAGCTGAACACAAAGATTTTTCAGTCAGAATGTCATCATCATCTAGAGTCATGACATTATGTCCCCAAAAATACAGTTGCAAAACATAAGGATGTTTTGGCATAGCTGCTGGGAACCTGCTTAAACCATTAAAAGGACAATAGTTTAAAACTGAGAACATGCTGAACAGAGGTCCCAGGATTTTTTTTTTTCAAAAATCTCTCTCATAATTATTAGCACTAATAAACACTGCCTCTGAGTTTATTTTTTCTGGTGTACCCCTTGTAATCCTATAAGATCAGTTACTTTTGGATCTCTTGTAATATAATATATTCCACATAGACAAAACTCGCCAATTTAAAGAACTGCATTATTAAGTTGTCTTCAAAAGAGTAACATTATCACGTCTCAAGCTGCTTGGCAAATTTATGGATGTATAGCTGCAAATTTTAATGGATCTCCAAGGGCTGAAAAAACAAAGGCTGAATTCATTCATTGTGCTAGCCCACAAGTTTATTATAGCCATGATTTGTTGAATAAACTACAGCAGGCACAGTTTACACAACACATCAAATAAACCACAATATTGAGAAGATAAGATGAAATCTCAACTTATCAGTCAATCAGCCAGTCAATCAAAATCCAATCATTACAAGAGATCTTGCAAGTTGAGATTTCATCTTATCTTCTAAATTTTACTCATGGAGAAATCTCATCTTCTCAATCTCATCTTCTCAGTTTTCCCATAGAGTTAATTTAGGAGCAGTTGCTATTATAAGTTAATTCCATTCCAGTATAGGAGTTGCCCAAAGAAACATTGTTTAGTATTTTGTACCTTAAAAATGAGGGCAAGTGAGATGTTATAAGAGCATAAAAATCTCAAAACATTTTTATGGGGACATATGAAATAAGGAATGGTAGCATTATTTAAAAGGAAGTTCTTGAAAAAGGTTTAGGGAGAAGGTTCATTTCATTCATTCCCCCCCCCCCTTCTTTGGACACTATGTTAGGGAGCAACAATAGCATAGAAACCTCTAAAAACTGTTGCCTCCATGCATCTCCATTATTTTTTTCACAATCCCCAAGCATCATTTCAAGAAGTACTTAGATTGAAGGTAGATATGGTGGCCACTTAAGAGAATTGATAGCAAGAACCCCTCCCCAAATTTTATCCTTGCATCATTGTTGAAGAGGGAAGGTATCAAAAGCCATTGCCGAAATCCCCAAACCATTTGCCATTTCATTCACCCTTCCCCTGAAAAATCAGGACCGTTCACTCCATTTTGCCACTTGCAAATTCTGTGTAAAAATGGAGGTCATTTTCCAGTAGCCTTAGTCTAAGTCTTTTGAGCCTCACTTATTAGTGTTCAGACAATAATACTATTTGACTGTCTGGCCATCTGTGAGTATAATATTCAATTAATATTCTAGGGCTTTCCACACTTTGAAAAGTATTAAGTAGTGCTTTGGACCTCACACAAGACAATATCTCC